ATATACACTTAACTACTTTCAATTATTTTAGGTTTATTTTCAAAGGATTTATTTTTTGTTCAAAGGGATTGTGGGCTTTAAAAACCGATAGCTGTTTCCAATCCCAAACCATTTTTCCATTGGTTTGTAAAATTGAGGAAAAGAGCCTTGCTGTGGCCCAAAACATATTTCTAAGGTGAAATTTCTCATGGAAATGCCAAAAAAGAGTTTAGAATTTGTTATTATTATATAAAATACACATTTTTTTTTGTTAGAAAATTATACAAATTATTTTGTCCATTGTGTGTACGTGTGTGTGTGTTTTGCTTTTCTCTTTATTGGGATTGTGAAAAAATAACCGATTCTCATTTAAGTAGAAAATTTCTCTTTTTTTTAAGGCGAAATATTTTATATTGTCAAATTGATTAATTTTTTTGTTTGGCTTGAGCCGAAAACCATGCACAAAAAAATCGACAAAATATATTTCCAAAAATGTTGTTTTGTTTAGTTTCCGTTCCGTTTTGGTTTGGTTTTATAATTTCAATTACATAGTTATTGTTTCAAAATTTTCGTATTGATTTTGTTGTTGTTCTTTTCTCTTAAAAATAAAAGACATTTCACGATTGCATCAAAATTCATGGGAAATCATTTTTTTGGTTTTTTGGAGGCATGCATGATCTGCGGAATATTCAATGCAAAAATGAAATATCTTGTGGAAATTCTAATAGCACTTAAGACGAAGGAAAGAGAGGGAAAATGAGATAAAATAATAAGAAGTTAATTTATATTTTTCTTTAATTTATTTTTTTTTTGTTTAAAGTAGTGTCTTGTTTTTATTCCTTTTAATTTTAGATATTTTCTTATTTTCATGTATAAAAAATATAAATTTTTTATATATATTTTTGTTTGTGATTAGTTTGTTTTTAATTCTACTTTTTTTTTGGTTTAATTTATTTGTTCTCATAATATTTGTTTGGGAATTTCCAATAGGTCCTTAATTTGGGTTGTTATAGTTAGATTGAGTGCGTGTGGAGGAAGGACATTTTAGGAAATATGCTGAATTTGTTGTTTGATGGCTACAATCATATGCCAAGGGAAGCATATTGGATACAATGACCTTCCATCGTTGATTTTAAGTAGTTTATTAAAATATTGCATTAGAAAAAAAATATATAAAAAATTATTTTTCCTTAAAATTATAAATTAAAAAAAAGCAAAATTGTATATTGAAATCAATAAAAATAAAATAAATTCATTTAAATGACAAAAGTGGAGACAAATTTTTGTAACATTTGCCAAATTAATAAGCTGGATAGGACCCAATTCACACATAGAAATTTTGCCGTAAAGGAAAGTGAGTGTTTGGAAGACAGGGCCGACAAAAATGTGACAAGTACTTCTTTTCACTTCCTTCGTTGTTTCAAGCAAATTTACAACGTGTAAATTGGTTTTAAGATATCGCAAATTTTAAAATAATCGCTCATCTTGTTTCGCTGTTTATGAGGGATATAAATACTGAAAATTGCGAACCTTTGTAGGGGATGTACAAGATCTTGTGTGTTAGTAAAAATATTGGAATGTGTGAAATTTAAAAAGAATCGGATGCTTATCTTTCGCTTTTTATGAGCGATCATATGTTGGTAATAATATTGAGATGTGTCAAATTTGATGTTGTAGTATAAATATTGGAATTTGCGAAGTTTAGAAGGAATCGGGTGCTTAATTCGCTTTTTACGAGAGATGTGACTATTCAAAATTTGGAATCGTTGTGGAGAAGGTACCAGAAGGAGTAGACCTATATATTCCATCTTCACACCAAATAGTTCGTTAATAAAAATATTTCACGTTTATGTGCATTTTGTTAATCTGAATGATACCAGAAGGAGTCGACCTATATATTCCATCTTTCGTTAATAAAAATATCGGGATGGGTGAAGTATAAAGAGAATCAGATGCTTATTTCATTTTTATGACCATTTGGTTATTGAAAATTTTGCCACCTCTGTGTGTGGGAAGTACCAGAAGGAATGTGCCCATATTGCTCACATCCGAACTTTATCTAAGTTTGATAATAATATGTACCAAGTTTGGGCCAAAACCCTTCGAGTGTTATCGTGCGCACCCTCGATCGACTTCAAATGTCCTGAAACGGTTTTGGTCCCAAGAGACATAGGATATAAAACCGTTATTTCGTTTAGGCACGTTTTGGCCACATCAAATATTATACCCTACAACACTATGTGTTGTATTCGTTTCCCACATAGGAAATTATATCTTCCTATCTCGCCGAGTTGAGTCGATCTAGCTATGTATGTCCGTCCGTCTGTCCATCTTAATTTTTAATCACGCTACAGGTCGCAATTAAGGCCCGTTCCTTAAATTTTTGCATGGAGGTGGGGTTATGGTCAGAATACTTTTGGAGATCATCGCATAATATTTAGGGGTTGAAATGGATCAAAAACAGAAAAATGTCCTGATTTTGCAGTTGCTCTACAGGTCGCAATTATAGACCAATCGACGCGGAAGTTTGAATGAAGCTAGAACTTAGGGCTGGGCAGAAGCCTTCCAATTTTGATGGTCATCAGGTAATGTTTAGTGGGTGAAATAGACCATAACATTTGTGTTAAATAAAAGTCTAATATTCCATTAAACCGCGAATATCTTTAATCCCTGCGAAATAGACGAAAATGTCAATTGTGACAGTTACGTTGATGTCGGTAGTAAGGATATCGGATATATATAGCGAAATATATACAATGTATATATACATAAAGATGTTCGCAATATATCTATGGGTGGAAATAGGCCAACAACTAACAATGTTCTTGATTTTGCAGCCGTTATAAGGTCACAAATAGAAACCAAAGGACACGATATCTCGTATGAAATTATAGTTTAGGACAGCGAGTAGAATGAGCCACTACTTTTGTGTGAAAAAATACCAACATTTCAATTCTACCGAAACGCTGAAAATAACTTACGAGCGAAATCAAAAATACACAAAAGGCTTTTTTATGCTGATTTCATTGACGAATGTAGCCAAATATCGTAGACAAGCAAATCATATATATGAGATACAGAGGGTCCTCTTGCTTTTGGAGATGATCCCAAAATATGTGACCCAAAATCAGAAAAAGTTTCCTGATCACACAATGCTCCATGACATAATTTCAAAAGCGATATCTTCCAATAAGGATTTAGACATAAGGGAGCTTCTAACACATTGTAGTGTTGTAGGGTATCACATGGTCGGCCCCGCACGACTATAGCCTTGCTTACTTGTTTTTGTTTTAAGCTTAGCCACTAAACTGCTTCCCTCAGAAAGCCACCCGGTTTAGCTCTAAGGGAACTCCGACGATAAATGCAAATTACCTTAATATGTATGTTATTCTTCTAAGATCACGTTTTCCCCTTAACAAAGAGGCAAATTTCCAATTAGTTAAAACAACAGATATTTGAACTAGATGGCCCTTTTCCTTCATAACTAACCTCATTCAAGATTTAGTTTGTTTAGCTGAGGGACGGTTCTCAGACGTTGCAAAGTTGTTTATTTCTTTGAAAAGGTTACTTCTTCAATGACTGAGAATGTTTGTCATTTAACGAAGCTCTGTCAATCATTTGCAAATAGTCTCCACATGTAAACCAAACAAGTTAAAGAGTATCAGAAGGGATTGCGGACAGACAGAAAAGACTAAATGGAATCGGGTGTTAATTTCGCGTGCTTTGTGAGATTCATTGATATTCAAAATTTCGACGTTTAGTGGGGGAGGTACTTGATTAAGTGGCCTGATATTATCCATTTTTACACCAGACCTAGACCTAACGCAAATATTAGGATTTGCAAAGTTGGATCAAAATTGGATTATCGATTCGCTTCCTGTGCGCTTTTTGTTTGAAAATTTCGACTTTTTTGGGGTGGGGGTTTACTAAAAGAAGTGGATCGATATATTCCATTTTTATACCAGACCTTGGGTTTATATAATACATTTACATCACTTACATCACTTTTTAAAAGACTTGTAATTATTGAAAATTTTGACCCTTTGTGTGGGAGGTACTTGATGGAATACCTGATCTAGAACTCACGCAAATATTAGAATTTACAAAGCTGGAACAAAATCTGATTATCGCTTTTCTTTTGGTGCAGAAAATATTTCTTTGAAAATTTCGGTCTTGTGTGGGGGAGGTGCCGATATTGCCCCATCTCGATCTAAGTTTAGCAAAAATATTATGATGTACCAAGCTTGGACCAAATCGTATACTCCTTCCGAGCACCAGCCAGGCAGATGGACGGACATCACTAGATCGACTCCAAATGTCCTGAAACGGATTTGGTCCAAAGAGACCTAGGGTCTAAAATCGTTATTTCCAGTAGGCACGTTTCGGCCGTATGAAATGATATATACCCTCTCTAGCCATATGGCTGTGGGTATAAAAAGCTAGCTTATTTGCTTTTATCGGGGGGGTATTTCAATAACCTTCATAGTTTCCGGGAAGACCGTCGTCTCTCGATGGTATGCCTCATTATTGCCTTAAACTTGAAAAGTAATAAATAATAATCTAAATAACATAAATCTAATGCAACAAAACAATCTAAAACTAAAATAATTAAAAAAAATGGAGTAATATTTTTTTTGGTAAAGTTTTCAATTTTATTTAATTGGTATGTGATTTTGAGTTTTTTTTGTTTGTTTTATTTATTAATAGAATTAATTATCAAAAGCCTTTGAGACCTGCTTTACATAAAAAATGTATATTCGGTTTAATTAATTTTTTTTTGTCCAAATATATAAAGCATTGATTTATTATTATTTTTTTTTTTTAAATTACAATTGATGAAGAGAATAATGTGAAAGTGGTGAGTGGAAAAGGGTGTAATTATTAATTGTAATTATTTATTGTTTATTGTAATTACTTAGCCGGTATATATGTTATTGTTATTTTCGGTTTCATTTCTGTTTTTACTAAAAAGGTTACAATTTATGTGAAATGAGTTTTTGCAGTTTTATTTTCTGTTCTAATTTTAATTTTTATTTTTATTTTGTTTTAAAAGCGAACATCGCTCATTGAAATTATTTATCAGTTTTGTTTTTCTTGTTGTTCTTCATATTTGTTTTATTGTTTGTTTTAGTTTTATGAGTATAACTAAACTCTAAAGTAATTTGGTTGGTTTTATTTCACATTTTAGTTTGTTGTTTTTCTTTTTTGTTATAATGTTTCGTTAATATTTGTTGTTGTTGTTTTTGTTTTTCTCTTTGTAATGAAAGTAATATCCATCTATCCATTAAATATGGTTGATATGCATTCATATATATGTATATATATTTGTTGTAATTGTATTTTTTTTTTAGTTTTTGTCTTATTTTAATAATATTTTTTTATGTCTTTCTTTTTTTTTTTTTTGTAATATATATAATATGTTTCTTTAATAGTTGCAATAGATATGCGTTTTTTATTTTCTTTTTTATTGTTTTATTTTGTTTTAAAAACTAAGAACATTTTATTTTGGATTTCTTCCGCTAATACCATTTAAATAGCAATTTACTTTTATATATATTTTTCCATAATACATTTAATTAATATAAGGAGTTATTATTATTTTTTTGGTTTTTATCTATAAATATTATTGTTAGTTCTTTTTACGGTTTTTTTATTTTTTGTTAAATACAATTACAGACATACCTTATTGTGTGGTTTGGGTTTTAGTTTAGATTTTATTATTTTTTATTGTTTAAAGCCAATTTGTATTTATTTTAACTTTTGTAAATATTGATATGTTATTTTTTTTAATTAAGAAGGAACAAATAAAATTGTGAATACTAAAAGAAAATAACAAAATATTTATATTTTTGTGAAAATATTAACATTTGCAGAAAATTTAAGGGATAGATCTAAAGATTTTAACCGAATCGATGCAAGTTATATTTAAAGGGAAAATATTGAAAATTATTTCAAATTGAGCAATGTAAATGAAAAACAAGTTAAAAAAGTATCAGTCGGTTTAACCGACAGATGTATACCCTCAGCCAATGTTCGATTTTTAAATATATTTTGACTGCTGTTACGATTATTCAAATTTTTCACCCTCTATGGAGTAGGTTCCGAAGGAATGGGCCAATATTGTCCATTTCGTATCGGACCCAAATAAATATGATATAAATATTCCGACGTTTCAGGTCTCGACTACATCGGTTACATCCTTCATTATGAGATATGTGATAATTTTTAGAAAAATCGCTGACTTGTTTCGCAAGTTATGACCGATATAAGTATTGAAAATTATGATCCTTTGTGGGTAAGGTACCAGAAGGGATTCGCAGATATATATCATATTCATATCTTGTCTTAGCAAAAAAAAAAAAAAAAAAAATTCTTCGCTTTATTTGAGAGTTTTGTTTTTCAAAATGTTGAACCATATGTAAGGGGGAAGTACTCGAAGAAATGGTTCGATCTATACCATCTTTGTAACAGATCTTGTGTTGATAGAAATATTCAGATGTGCTAAGTGTAAATGGAATCTAAAGTTATTTCCGCTTTTTATGAGCTCCATGGGTATTCAAAATTTCGACCTTTTGTGGGGGAGGTACCAGAAGGAGTGGACCTATATATTCTATGTTAACACCAAGTCTTGGGTTTATAAAAATATTGGGATGTGTGAAATTTTAACACAATCGGAACCTTTTTGGGGGGAAGGTACTTGATGGAGTGGACCAATATTGTCCATTTTTGAAAATTTCGGCCTTTTGTAGGGGATGTACCAGAAGGAGTGGACCCATATATTCCATGTTAACACCAGATCTTGAGTATATTGGGATGTGTGAAATTTTAAGACAATCGGACTCTTACATCACATTTTGTAAGAGTTGTAATTATTCAAAATTTTGACCCTTTGTGGGGGAGGTACTTGATGGAGTGAACCGATATAATCCATTTTTACACCTGACCTAGAACTAACGCAAATATTAGGATTTGAAAAGTTGGAGCAAAATCGGATTATCCGTTCTCTTTCTGTGTAATAATTTTTTTTTTGAAAATTTCGACCTTTTGTGGGCGTGGTACCAGAAGGAGTATACCGATGTATTCCATCTTATTACCAGACCTTGGGTTAATAAAAATATTGGGATGTGTGAAATTTTAAGACAATCGGACACGTACATCAAGTTTTATAAGGGTTGTAATTATTCAAAATGTTGACCCTTTTTGAAAGAGGGACTTGATAGAGTGGACCGATATTGTTTATTTTCGCACCTAACCTAGCACTGATGTTAATATTAGGAGTTGAAAAGTTGGAGCTAAGTCGGATAATCCTTTCTCTTTTTTGTGAAGAAAATATTTTTTTTTTTTTTTGAAAATTTCGACCTTTTGTGGGGGAGGTACCAGAAGGAATGTGTCGACATTGCCCATCTCCGAACTCGATCTAAGTTTGACAAAAATATTAGCATGTACCAAGTTTGTACCAAATAAAATACTCCCTCCGAGAGTTATCCTGCGCACCAGCCAACCATACAGACAGACGGACGGACGAACATCGCTAGATCGACTCCAAGTGTCCTGAAACGGATTTGGTCAAAAAGAGACCTAGGGTCTAAAACTAGGCACGTTTTGACTGTATCAAATGATATATACCCTCTCTAGCCATATGCTTGAGGGTATAACTAGCCATACGGCTGAGGGTATAACTATCCATATGGCTGAGGGTATAATTAAAACATAGAAAAATTGTTTAACTGCAACAAGTTTTATTTTTAATTTAGCAATAGAGCTTAAAGCTAACCCATCGAGGAAAGTGTTATAATTTTTTGATAATTCATTTTTTTATTATTATTTTTTATTGAGAGAGATAAATAAAATTTAGCAGAAACCAAAATAAGAGACTAACAATTTTCATTAAAGCAGTTGCAATTTATTTTGTGGGGCGTTAGTTTTCAATAACTAAAGCTCAAAAGTGTTCTTACAATTTTGGGCTATGCTTTGAAACGAGCTCCCAATAGACTAATTCTAATAATATGTGTTTATTTGTATGGTTTGTGTAATACAAATACGACATGCTTCAAATATTTTGTTCTTTAAAATTTTGAATTGTCATATCGTTGCTTAATCCAAATTTAATATTTCTATTATTATTGTTTGTAAATTTTACCTTTACACATTATTTATTTTTTGCTTATCAAAACAAAAAGAAGAGTGGCTAACATGTTTTAAAAATGAAAAATTGTTTTAAGGGCTTTGATTTTCTCAAAACCTGCCACTCCCAAAAGCGTGTACAAAAAGGGATTTCAATTTATTTAGTTTTATTCTCTTTTTATCAATTATTCTCTAAGAGGAGGAGTAGGGGATTTTCCTCAATATCAATTAATAATATTATAAAATCTGTTTTTATTTTGGTTTTTCCTTGGGTGAGTACAAAAAAAAATATATTTGTTCCTTCCATCTAGCGAGGGAGGGAGGGAAGGAGATTTTCCATCGTCTTTGTCATATTTTTGTTTTATTTTTTTTTTTTATTATCAAAAAAATTGTCATAATTTTGTTTGGATTTGTGCAATTTGATATGCTTTTTACTATAAAAAGGAGTTTGCTTTCGTCAATTGGAATTTATGTACTTTTCGTCTAAAAAAAATCGTTTCTCTTTTGCAAAAACTGTTCTGAGTTGGCTTTAATTTAAACCCCCTTTTTGCGGGGGTCTTGGCTCCATAATTATGAAATAGAGTCAATTTTTGGCTTTCGGATTTATTTCTCTATTTCTTTGAGGAGTAGGACAAAAATCATATAACGACACGTTTCAAATGTTACCAATTACACAATGCAAACACAGTTTAAAAAAACTATATAATGTGTCTTTTTTAACTTGGATGTAGTTTGACAAATTTAAGAAAAGTTTTGAAAGTAAAAATATGGCAGCATTGTTATTTAACATGGTAGAATCAAGAAGGTAAATTCATGCAATCATATGTTTACAATTTTTTCAAAATTGTCCATTTGACATCTTCTCATTGTCAAAATTTCAACAAAATTTTGACAGATATACATTTCAATACAAAAAAAAAAAAAAATAAGAGAAACGTATTTTTTGAATTTGAAAGTATGAAAATATATCTATGCAAGAAAAATGATTCTGGCGGGAATGATTATTTTTCATTGTTCCCAAATCCAAAGAAGAGTGTAAATGATGGTGCCAAGCATGTGGTTCATATATTACATGATATATGATGATTCAAAATTTTAAGGTTTTGTGGGGGACGAACCAATGAACCGATGTATCCCATCTTCACACCACTTGCATTGACGGATTTTAATTGGTTCAATTCGCCTTTTATTGGTGTCATTGTTATTCAAAACGATGACCCGTACTTCCTGTGACATGGGGTTTCGAAAATACTCAAATTTCACTTTTTTCTTTGTTATTTCCAAACTTTGATTCCCTTAGCCGTAGTGTTGGACATACCGCAGCGAAAGAAAAAAAAACTATTAAGAAAAACTTGGATTCACGTAGAGGATGTTGGACGAGAAAATGTCAAGTCTCATTCGAAAGCCGGCTACTTAAAAAGAGTATACAATTTTATAATGGAAAAAGGACAATATCGGCCCCTTTCTTCCAGTGCCTCTAAAGGTTTACAATTCTCAATAATCCTATCTCCAATAAAATGGGAAAAAAATGTCAATTGTCTTCAAATTTCGTATATTCCAATACTACTACTACCGACAAAAAAATCATATTTGAAGAACGGACCACCCCTTCTGGTACCTCCCCCAAACAAAGGTCACAATTACCAATAATTATATCTTTCATAAATTGCGGAATATGAAACATTTAATTGTTGGTAATTGTGACCTTTTGTCGGAGAGGTACCAGGGAAGGGGTGGGACGATATGTATCATCTCACACAAAAGATTTTGTTTTAGTTGAGATATTAAAATGTGCCAAATTTGAAGTTGAATGGACTCTTATTTCCCATTTAATAAGATTTATATTGATTCAAACTTGTGACCCCTTGTGGGAAAGGTACTGGTACTGGATTTTCGCACCTGACCTTGCAATGATTTAAGTATTAGGATTAACAAAAAACCGGATGATCCTTTGTTTTTCTATAAGGCAAATTATTTTCTGTGAAAATTTTGAACAATTGTAGGGGAGGTTCGAGAAGTATCGGGCCAATGTTGTCCATCTCCGAACTGGGTGTTAGTTTGATAATAATATTACGATGTACCAAGTTTGGACCAAAACAGGTACTTTCTTTTAGAGTTATCGTGCGCACCAGCCAGACAGATACACAAACGGAACTTATAAATCGACTCCAAATGTTCTGAAATGGATTAGGTGCAAAAGAGACCAAGAATCTAAAACCGTTATTTTGATGAGGCCCGTATGGCCGTATCAAATAACATATACCCTCTGTACTCATATGGCTGAGAGTATAAACAATATAGAAAGTTACAGCCTCATCGCTTCGGGTATAAACCGAACCAAGTTAGGACCATAACGCGTACCCCATTTTATAGAGATTTAAGCATGATTTTTTTTGCTGAATTTTTTTAACTTTTTTGGGGGATCCCAAATGGATGCACCTATATATTCGATGTTCATAATAGCTCAAAAAATAAAACAGAACCAGTAACGAAAGTCTTAAAGTCGGGCGGTGCCGACTTTATGATACCCTACACCACTTTGCATATTTAGTAGAGCTTCACATATCAAATTAAAGTTTTTATGGAGAATTTTTGAGAATTAAATCATACCAACTATGATCAAAGTTATGATTTAAAGTCTAAAAGAACTAATATATGAGGGGAATATCCTCCTCTGAATCGATTTCTATCTCATTTTCCGAGGCACAGTTAACTTGAAATCGGATAAAGATGTATATGGGAGCTATATCCAAATCCGAACAGATCTCGATAAAATTTGGCTAAGGTATTTCTGAGCCATATTTGATATGTGTCCCCAAATATCGTTGTTACTGAGTGCATATTACGCCTGCGGAGGGCAAAAATAATGAAGGTTGAACAGTATATATGGGAGCTATAGCTATATCTAAACCGATTTCGAACAAATTTGGCATACTTATTTTCAGGTCTAATTTGGTCGTATGTGCGAAATTCCATACTATTTGGACTGATATTACACGTTTGGTGCACAATAAAAAGCAGATCAGAAGAAGAAATAATGAAGCTATAAATAAAAATTTTGACCGATTATCTCCAATTTCAATAGGGTTCGTCCTTGGTCCAAATAAATGATTTGTGTAAAATGTCATCTGCATCGGGCAATAAATGCGAGCTGTACACTGTTTACAAAAAACATGGACAGACGGACATGCATAAATCGATTCGGAATGTGATTTTATGCAGATCATCAAAAGGAACTAGGGGTCTATCTCTTTTCCTTTTCCCTGTTACAAACAAATGCACAAAGACCTGATCATCTTGTGGTATAAGGTATAAAAATTGGACCGATTTTTTTCGTTTTCATAATTGCTCTAACTAAGTTAAAAATTACGAAATTTTTTATTGTTCATTTTTTACTTTTGTTTGGAGAATTACTAAAGAGGAGTAGAAAAATATTGTCCAGTTTCGCATCTCATCTAAATATTGTGATATGCCAAGATTTGTATATTTTCGATATCCGTAGGAGTGAACCGATATCGTCTCTTTTTGAACTCGATCCAGGTTTGCTAAAAATACGATGTTGTTCCAAGTATGGACCATGATCCTCAAGAGTTTTTCTCCAGCCATACGGGGATAATAAAATCCATTCGAAGGAATATCGGTTCTTCGGATCGCTTTGGACATATGAAGGCGTTAAAAAATCAATAAAATTTCTTGTGTTTGACTAAATTCGGTCACATGTGCTTCATTGGAAAAAATATTTTTTGTTAAATGTCCTTCCATTGGATTCATATAATTACTATGAAGGCGTATTCAGTCTATGCATGGGAGAAAATAAAGTCTCACTTGGATATCGGACACAAAATATATGATACCATACAACAACCAATTTTGTTTTTTCATAGCACCGTTCTTTCAGCTTTTGGCTCCTCTTAAAAACCTTTGGAGATCGTTTGCCAGCATTTTCGTCTTCTCAGAAAAAACACTGTTGGGCCGACAAGGAACACTGAGAAAAAAAGAGAAAAGTCCTATTCAAATATATTTGCGCTCTCAAATATAGGTGAACATAGAAATAAGAAGTGAGGACTGAAAAAAATATATTTAAAATATGCCTTACCCAGCAAACATATTCATTACATTCGCAGGAACAAGTACTACTTCAATTGACTTTTACTGACCATGGAATAAAAATGTGTTTCGTCTGACATGCTCTAAGTAAAGGAAAAGGTTTGTAACCTGGTTTGTAATGAGTATCTTTGGTGGGTAATTCATCTACAGTTTTTAATATAACAATACCATATTCAAAGTCTTCCTGCCTTTCTTCCATTGAGTGTCAAACTACTCCAAGTTTCATCTTCGCTTCAGTTAAAATATTTTTAGTTGTCTTGTGTCATTTTATTTATTTTTTAAGTTGTGTTTTGTTTGTTTTTTTTTTTATTTCCTAATAAAAAGCTACAAAAATCTCCGGGGGTGGGGGCATTGGTTGCTCAAAAAAACAGGGCAATCTACAAACTTTATTCACCCCAAATTTTAGTCTTTTTTTCAAGTTTTTGTTTGTCGTTCTATTTTACCAAATAACAAAATCAATATCATTTTACAAAATTGCCTACAATTTTCATTTGATTTTGAAACAAAATGTTGTGGATTAATAATAGCATCATGATCCTATGCAGGCGTGACTATCAAATATCTATTATCCAGGGGATTGCGGTCTTGAGTCCCTTAAGGGACAGCATTTTGCGAGTGTTTGGGTATTTATGTTGATTTCTTTTTTCTGGTTTGGCTGTTGCATGTGTTCTTTTCTTTTCGCTACAAATTGTGCTTCATTTATTCATTCTTTCATTTATTCATTATCATTGGCTTTTTTGTTGTTGTCATTACTAAATCTCTTTTAATTTATCTCTTTAAAAATTAATCAATTGTTTTGTTGTATTTAATAATTATTTTTTTTTAATGTTATTGTTATTATTTTTAATTAAATTATGTGTATGTGTGTGGGTGAGTGTTTTGTGCTTTTTGTGCTTTTATTGGAAAATGCTATTGACCATTGTCAGGATTATTGCCACGGCCAGCAATGTCAGCTGTTGCATCTTCATTTCATAGATAGTTGCGGAAGCGGATGTTGAGCTTTTGTTTTCACATTCGGAACCTGCAAGAAAAAAGAAAATTGTACAGTTTATTATTTTCTTTGGGGTTAATGATGATGGATTGTTTTGATATGATTGTTCAAAAATTAATTTTAAATTATATATTTAATAATTAGAATTAAAATTATATACATATCATATAGAAATATTTTGTTTGAAATAAACAAAGCAGAAGCATTTCTAAAAAAGCTTATAATGTTGAAATTTTCTTAAATTGAAATATTTTTTTCTTCAGCTTTATCTGGTGGATAATAAGGTAAGGATTATTTTGTTAAATCTAATGTATATATACAACATTTTCAACCAACCAACCAAAAGTTTTAAATTGAAGTATCGATGATACTCATACAACAACATATTTATATAGCTTTGTGATGGAAACCACTTCGATTCGATTTATATTGAATCGAAACTACAGATATCTTAGATGATCTAATATATACCGATATCTTGATAAACAATTTTCCTTCTTAGGCTGTAGAATCCATTAGAACTTCAAATACCAAATTTGAAACAACTCCTGTGAATAATGTCGCTAAAATTATCAAAATACCGATTATATGGGGGCTATACCAAAACGTGGACCTGCACAGACAATTTTCTGTCTTAGGCTGTAGTATCCATTATGAACTTCAAATACCAAATTTTAAACAATTCCGGTGAATAATGTCGCTAAAATTATCAAAATACCGAAAATCGGGAGCTACCATTATATGGGGGCTATACCAAATCGTGGACCTGCACAGACAATTTTCTGTCTTAGGCTGTAGTATCCATTATGAACTTCAAATACCAAATTTTAAACAATTCCGGTGAATAATGTCGCTAAAATCGTCAAAATACCGAATATCGGGAGGTACCGTTATATGGGGGCTATACCAAAACGTGTACCTACATGGGTCATTTTCAATACCAAAAGTCCTGCAGACATAATATACATTTGAGTTAAATTTTATCAACCTACTTCATTTCGTTCGGAAGCTAGAGTGATTTCCACTGACGGACAGATGGGCGGACATCGACATAGTATGTTACGCTAATTAAGAATATATATACTTTATGTATATTCCGAAGTGTTACAAACGTAATGGCGTACTCAATTTACCCTTCATACTATGGTGGATGGTACTACAAGGAAAAATGGAAAAACTGCAAAAATCGGAAAAAAAAATCGAAACCTTTTTGATGCTGTTTGGTACGTAGTTTTATCTAGTGAAGCGAAAAGTTTCGACGAAGAAAGATTAAAAACATTCATAGTTTCTATACCCTCCACCATACTATTGAGTCTTTCGGTATACCACCTCCGGTGGGAGAACAGTGATTTTAGTAACATTTATTAATGAAATTTAGTATTTGACACTCGCAATAATATAACATTTTCCGTAACAGAGTATTTTCCATGCAGGCTCACGTGTAACAGTTCTGCCTACTTTATGATGTTTTAAACGGTTTTATTTAGCTCACCCCCTTTGGTTTTATACCCTCCACCTTAGTATGGAGGGTATATTAAGTTTGTCATTCCGATTGTAATACCTCGAAATACACATTTTAGACCCCACAAAATATATATATCTTATTGATCAGCATAAAATTCTAAGTCGATTTAACGATGTCCGTCCATCTGTCCGTCTGTGGAAATCACATTAGCTTCCGAACGAATTGAAGTAGAATGATAAAATTTTACTCAAATGTATGTTTTGTCTACAGGACTTTTGGTATTGAAAATGGGCTATGTAGGTCCACGTTTTGTTATAGCCCCCATATAAAGGTAGCTCCCGATATTCGGCATTTTGATGATTTTAGCAAATTTATTCACTGGAATTGTTCCAAATTTGGTATTTGAAGTTAGTAATGAATGTGACAGCCTAAGACAGAAAATTGTCTGTGCAGGTCCACCTCTTCGTAGAACCCCCATTTAACGATACCTCCCCATATTCGGTATTTTAATAATTTTATCGACACTTTTCACCGGAATTGTTGCAAATTTGGTATTTGAAGATGGTAATGAATAGTACAGCCTAATACAGAAAATTGTCTGGGCAGGCCCACGTCGTCGTATAGGCCCCATATAACGGTACCTCCCGATATTCGGTATTTTGATGATTTTAGCAAATTTATTCACTGGAATTGTTCCAAATTTGGTATTTGAAGTTAGTAATGAATGGGACAGCCTAAGACAGAAAATTGTCTGTGCAGGTCCACCTCTTCGTAGAACCCCCATTTAACGATACCTCCCCATATTCGGTATTTTAATAATTTTATCGACACTTTTCACCGGAATTGTTGAAAATTTGGTATTGGAAGATGGTAATGAATAGTACAGCCTAATACAGAAAATTGTCTGGGCAGGCCCGCGTCTTCGTATAGCCGCCATATAACGGTACCTCCCGGTATTCTATATTTTAATAATTTTAGCGAAAATTTTCACCGGAATTATTTCAAATTTGGTATTTGAAGTTCATAATGGATACTACAGCCTAGGACAGAAAATTGTCTGTGCAGGTCCACCTCTTCGTAGAGCCCCCATTTAACGATACCTCCCCATATTCGGTATTTTAATAATTTTATCGACATTTTTCACCGGAATTGTTGCAAATTTGGTATTTGAAGTTGGTAATGAATAATACAGCCTAAGACAGAAAATTGTCTGGGCAGGCCCACGTCTTCGTATAGCCTCAATATAACGGTACCTCCCGATATTCGGTATTTTGATGATTTTAGCAAATTTATTCACTGTAATTGTTCCAAATTTGGTGTTTGAAGTTAGTAATAAATGGTACAGCATAAGACAGAAAATTGTCTGTGCAGGTCGGCGTCTTCGTAGAGCCCCATTTAACGGTACCTCCCGATATTCGGTATTTTGATGATTTTAGCGACATTATTCACCGGAATTGTTTAAAATTTGGTATTTGAAGTTCGTAATGTATACTACAGCCTAAGACTGAAAACTGTGCAGGCCCACGTCTTCGTGTAGCCCCATATAACGGTATCTCCCGATATTTGTGCAAGTCTGTGCAGGTAGGAGTTCAATGGAGCGCTGATTAAGGTGGAACTAAATATGACAGCTAACACTGGTCTTGTTCTGGTTACTTTATTTTGACGTACATTTTCATATTTTATATGTTTTCTTTAATATTTCCTTCATTCGGTATATTATTTCATTGTTTTTTTTTTTTTTTTTTTTTTTTTAAAGTAAAGATAATTGTAATATTTTTTAAATGATTAAATTAATTAAGTTAAGTACTGCTTTAGCATCTTTAACATATTATAAACATTCATGTATCTAAATAAGGCCAATATTTCCTTTAAAAAAGTACTTAATTAAAAACAAGTAAGCAAAGGCTATAGTCGTGCGTGGCCGACCATGTGATACCCTACAACACTACAATATTTTAGAAGGCCCCTTATGTCCAAATCCATTTTGGAAGATTTCGCTTTTGATATTATGTCATAGAACACTGCCCAGATATTACCCTTAGCTTTTTGACCAAGGAAATTTGCCCAATAGTTATGCACTCTGTCGTGCTGTTAGTTGTTGTGGTCCATTTTACAGTTGTGGTCCATTTTACAATGGTCGTTCACAATGCTAGTCTTCTTCCCTGTCCTTAACTCTCTTCTCATGCAAAATTCCGTGCTGATTGGTCTAAATTTTGTGATCAGGATTTTTTTTCTGTTTTTGGTTCATTTGAACCCCTAAACATTTTGCGATTATCTCCAAAAGCAACAGACCCATCTGTATCTACAAATGTTGGACTCATCTATATGATTTGCTTATCTACGATATTTGGCTATATAAAATTAGCATGACAAAGCCATAAGTTCGCCTTTGTGTATTTTGGATTTCGCCTGTAAGTTATTTGTAGCGTTTCGGTAGAATGGAAATGTTGGTATTTTTCACACAAAAGTAGTGGTCCATTCTACCCGCTGTCCTAAACTCTAACTTCATGCAACGGCTGCAAAATCAAGAAGATTTTTAGTTTTCGGTCCATTTCCACCCCTAAATAAATTGTGAACATATTTAAAAACAATAGGCCTAGGCCTTCTGAGCCTAACCCTACCCTTATAAAAATTTTCGCGAGGATCAGACGATAATTGCAAATCTGTATATAATAACCCCAACCTGTGTTGTAAGATCAAAAAATATTATAAAATGTACACCTCACTATTATAAGTCAAATTGGAAAAAAACCGCATGCAATAAAAAATATGAGAAAAAACCAGTAAAGAAAGTCTTAAAGTTGGGCGGCCCGACTTTATGATACCCTACACCACTTTGCTAATTTAGTAGAGCTGCACATAACAATTAAAAATTTTTATGGGAGAATTCAATCATATACGCTATGATTATAATTTTAATTTAAAGTTCAAAGGACTAAATATACCGAAGCATTTGCATCTTTTAAATTCGGACTTGTATTGCCCATTTGGTGCACAATTAATTTGAAATCGGATAAAAAATATGTATGGGAGCTATATCCAAATCGGATAAAATTTGGCAAAAATATTTCTGAGCTGTATTTGATATATTTCCCTGAATATCGTTGTTACGGAGTGCATATTACGGCTGTGGGTAACAAATATAACAAATCGGATGAACAGTATATATGGGAGCTATAGCTATATCTGAACCGATCTTCACCAAATTTGACATACTAGCTTCTAGACTCAATTCGGTCGTAAGTGCCAAATTTCATCCCATTTGGGCGAATATTAGACGTTTGGTGCACAATAATAGGTAAATCGGACGAAGTTATATATGGGAGCTATATCCAAATCTGAACGGATCTCGATAAATTTTAGCAAAGATATTTCTGAGCTGTATTTGATATATTTCCCCAAATATTGTTGTTACAGAGTGCATATTACGGCTGCGGAGAACAAAAATAACAAATCGGATGAACAATATATATGGGAGCTATAGCTATATCTTAACCGATTTCGATCAAATTTGGCATACTTATTTTCAGATCCAAACTGATCGTACGTGCAAAATTTCATACTA